GGTTTCTGTGAACCGGGGGCAATCCCCAAGTTTCCCGATAAATATAAAAAGGCAAATCATGTACATAGGGGAACAAATCCAACATTAATTGGTGCCGAGTATTGCAAATTAAAAAATTGCGAAATAGTTTTTTAAACCGAGGGGAGGAAAATACACAAGTGAGGGAGTTGGGGGGGGGGAAATTAGGCAGAGCAAAAGCGGAGGATACAAGGAGAATGGGATTTCCCCTACTTCCAAGTCGCCATCTAGTTATATCTTCTAGCAACATATTAATCCACAATTCAACATCATGGAGTCAACACAGCTGTCTCAGCTTTCCTTAACTGGGGAAGGTCTTTTTAAACAATTCAGCTCTGCGTAACCTTTAAAACCCATATTCGCTTCAGGAAATCCATTCCACAGAGTAAGGGCAGCTTCCGAAAAGGCCCAGGAATGGGCTGTAGCTGCCCGAGTGTGTCTGCAGAGGGAGGGGGAAGATATCCCACAGAGTAAGATCCCGGGCTAGCCAGATCTCATCAGCTCTCGGAAGCTAAGCTGGGTCAGCCCTGGCTAGTACTTGGATGGGAGACCTCCAAGGAATACCAGGGTTGTGAGGTAGAGGCAGGCAATGGCAGACCACCTCTAAACCTCTCTTGCGCTGAAAACCCTACAGGGTAACCATAAATCAGCCATGACTTGATGGCACTTTCTACCACGAGGATGAGGAATCGCCACATGGGGAGAGGCAGCCATTAACCAGGAAGGAACGTGCATTAAGGGACACCATTTGGGCAGACCTCTTGGGCCATTCAAGACCAGAGCATAAGCAGTCGATCACCCGTGCTTTAACACATTTCAAGGGCTCTGGAGGAATTCCATTTCTTCTAGAGGATGGCTGGAGAAAAGATGGGGGAAACACCACTCCAGCATGGGTATTCTATGGAATACTAACTGAATAGCCGTTTCAAGAAGGTAGCCATGCTAGTTTGTAGTAGCACAACAAAATTCGAGCCCACTACTAGCACCTTTTAGACCCACATTTTTTTTTCCCAGGGCACAAGCTTTCAGTAAGCCGAAGCTCACTTTGACAGACACAAACAAGGACGAATACCTATCAGCCATTCTATCCAAGGGAGGAGGTGGGAGGGATGTTACGAAAAAGGAACAGTCAGAGGCAGGAGGCAGTGGTACAATGCGAAATATAACCCACTTGATTAATAAGAATCCTGCATCCCTATTCAGCCCTGGGGGGGTTCACTGTCCTGAACTTGTTAATGAATTCTAGTTCAGCTGCCTCGCTAAACTGATTGTTTTAAAGACCTCCAGTTCCACTTGAATTTCTCATCACGATCCCGACTTGGGGAGTTAAGCATCTCCCTTAGACGCAGAAGGTCCTGGGTTCAGTCCCTGACTTCCCCAGTAAGAGGAAAAATCTTTCTCTGCCTGACAGCAGCAGAAAAGGCAAGGAGGATAGCTTAAAGCTAGACCGGGGTGGGGAGGCAACCTTTTTGAGCCTGCAGGCACATTAGGAATACTGACACATCATGGTAGGCACACCACAAAATGGGCACCACGGTGGATGGAGTCAGCCACAAAATGGCTGCTGCAGTTTCCCTTCAGTCACACACAGTGAAGGCCTTTGCCCTGCGGTGGCAGCAGCTTCCAATGCAACATTCTGAAAAATCTGCACAACCAATCAGAACTCCAGTGGCCAATCAGAAGCCTTGCAGGGCAAAAGCCCCACCTGATCCCACCTACTTTCCAAAAACAACATCCAGGAAACATGTTGGCAGGAGCTACAGCACCCGTGGGCACCAGGTTGGGGACCCCCGAGTTAGTCTGACCTAGTATAAAGCAGCTTCTACCTCTGAAGTTGCCCATCAGTTCGATCTCCAGGAGATGGACCTAGTGATGGAACCACTGTACGTTTTAGGGTTGCCAAGTCAGAAGCAGCGCTGGAGCGGGGGACTCCAGCACTGCTTTGGGAGTGCGCACGCGTGAGATGCACACGCGCCGCAACCCCGTCACCCGAAAGTGACGCGACCACGCCGAGCACGCTGGGAGTGGGGCCACGACCATCCGAGGGGAAACCATAGAGTTTTCCCTCGGATGACCGTGGCCCCGCCTCCAGCTTGCCCGGCGTGGTCACGTCACTTCTGGGTGATGTGCACGTTGTGTGCTTTGGGGGTGGGGTTCCCCCCCTGGGGCCCGATCTGCGGCAGCGGGGGAACGGGCCTCTGGGGCGGGGGTTTCCCTGCCCCCCCGGGGGGACTTGGCAAGCCTAGTACATTTTGCAGACAGAAGGTGCCGAGTTCAACTCCAGGCATCTCCAGTTAAATCTTGGGTCACAGGCAGTGGGGAAATACAGAGAGCGGCTGCCAGTCAGGGGAAGCAATAGTGAGCTAGAGGGCTCAACCCTTCTGACTCAGCACAGAGCCGCTGAATTTCACAAGCCTCAAGGGTCAGGTTTCAGGTTGGCAGTGGTGGGGGTGAGGGGGGGGGGGGGGGGGGGGGGCTGTGGCAAAGCCAGAGAAGTAAAGAAAGCACATTGGGTAGGGAGGGAACAAGAGGTTGCCGGTCAGATCAATTCTTAACGTTCCCTCCCTGCTCTTTTCTCTCTCCCTTTGGCTCCAGCCTCAGCTTACTTGCCAAACCAGCTCAACTACTGAAGGCATGACAAGAGAGTGGAATGAAGGGAGCCTGCCTCATATCACTCCTTCCCCTGGGGCGGAGGGGGAGACAGGACGGCTGGCAGCGGAACTCAGACTGGATTGCCTGCCTGGCCCTTCCAGCAAGAGGTGTTGTAAAAGACCATCCTGAGCTGCACTGCTGAGAGTCCCTGGGAAATCTCCGTGACCCTCCTCGACACATTTAAAAGAGCACAGGGAGTGGGGTTGCCAGCCTCCAGGTGGGGCCTGGGGATCTCCCGCTTTTACAACTGATCTCCAGCTGACAGAGATCAGCTCCCCTGGTGAAAATGGCTGCTTCGAAGGGTGGACTCTATGGCATTGTGCCCTGCTGAGGCCCCTCCCCTCCCCAAACCCCGCCCTTTCCTGGATCCGCCGGCAGAGTCTCCAGGTATTTTCCAACCCAGACCTGGCAACCCTAACAGAGAGAGAGGGGCATGAGGGAGAGACCTGACCACCCTTCATGGAGAAAAAAGGCCTGTCTAGGAACCCCTCGCTGCTTGTTTTAACCCTCGGTTTAACTTGGAAAAACCTAGGAAGGGAACTCGTGCTACAACTTCAAGTCGAGCGAAGGGTGAACATGAGCAATTCCTAGAAAGGCTTCTTGCTGCTGAAGAAGCCCCAGAGTGTATTACATGGTTAGAACATGAGAGAAAGGCAGGTGGAGTTCTTGGTGCACACACCCCCCCCTGAGCCACATGGTCCCAGGAAATTTCGTCCCCCCACCCCCACCACGCCTTGACTGCCGGGCAACAAACCAGCAGACTGGGTACAGCATAAAAGCTGGTTCAGACTCCTTCCTACCCCTGGCTGCTAAGATAAGAAGGCGCTCATAAATACCAAGGGTTTCCGGGCTTGGTCATACTGCCACAGTGATAAGAAGCCTCGCTTGTAATGAAAAAAGCAAAATATATAACAATTCAGCAGGGGGTGAAGGAAGAGAAACAGACTTTGTTTTAAGCCAGTGAGCACGTACCATGCTGGGGCCAGTCCAGTAGAGGAAAAACCCTTGTGGGTCCACCCGCAGGGTCACAAGAGCCCGATTGGTTGGTTCCTGGGAAAGTGAAAGCAAACAGTTAACACCCTTTTGCCAAATTACAAGGAGTTACTAATTCATTGTTTGTACTGCACCTTCAATGTACCAAATACTTGATAAGGAATCAGGTGTAAAAATAAGCCTCTGCCCCAAGAAGCTCACCCTTAAACTAAAAAAAAAAATTGCACAGATTTATGGAGAATATTGATGACTACCAGACATGCTAGGTTAATGGAACCTCCATAAACAGGGGCAGTATACTTCTAACCTACCAAGCATCAGGGCAAAAAAACCAACAACACCACTTCCATGTCTTGCTTGTGAGCTTGCTGGAAGCATCTGGCAAAAAACAGAGTACGAGAGCAGCTAGAGCAAGGGTCCCCCAACCTTTCTGGGCCTATGGGCAATTTTGGAATTCTGACAGGCCAGTGAGCACAACAACAAAAATGGCCGCCACAGGAGGCAGAGCCAGCCACACAATAGTAGGGATCCAGGTTGTATACAAATCTAACAGTAACTCTGCAATATCTAAGGCAGAAGCTGTTTAACAGGATGCCTTTCTACACAGCCAACCAGAAATCCGGCGAGGAAAAAGCTGCACCTAGAACCACCCACTTTCTAAAAGCACTTGGCAGTGCCACAAAAGATGTTGGAGGGCACCATGTTGGGGACCCCTGAGCTAGAGCTGTGATCCAGCGAGGCAGTGCTTATTTTATCAGTCTAGGAGTCAACAGCATCTGGAGAGGAGAGCAACCAGGAATACTAAACCCCTGGAGAAACCGTGCCCTGTCAGAACGACCCAAGGCAGCTGAGGTCCAGAATTCCTGCCTCCACAGTCCTTTTCGCCTTCCATTCTCCCCATGAGCTACCCACGCACATCTGCCAGGATGCCGTCACCCATAATTACAGTTAACCATTCACTTCTCAACAAGCCAAGAGTTTTCCCAGTATTTACGACCCGTTTTCCCCAACCACCACCCTGCAAGGTTGCTCACCACCATCCCTACCGGCTAAGCTAGCACCCGAGCTCAAGTTTCCCCAGGTCAAACGCTTAAAGTTCTTGGCTGAGGCTCCTGTTACAGAAGCCTAACAGGCAGAGATTTAACTGGTGTAGCTTTTCTAGGCATGGCAGTACAGATGTTAGCTTTTCTAGGGATGGCAGTACAGATGTTGAACGTCAGCCTGTCACTGTTACCCTCCTAAGAATGCTTCCAGACAAAGAGATGTCTTGACCCTACCCCACTGGTTCCCAGACCTCTGATGCTACTTCCACTAAAATCCAAGAGCACAAAAAGAACAAATTCTTGAGTACCCGTTATTCTTAAATAAATCCATGCCACGTTAGCTATTATGGCTCCTCTCTCCCCCATTCGTGTTCTGGGATTTATCGTCTGGGGAGTCAAGAATTCTCTACTAGAGATACACCTATCTCTCCCCATAAAATTACAGTTCCCAGGGGAGAGGAAATTAGATATTTGAATTGCTTTTAACGGTAATGTACACAGCACCCAGTTGGAATAGGTTTCCACACCACCTTCCTCTACCCTCTTTTCTGATTTCTCCAAGGACCACCACTTCCCTCTCACCATCGCCATGTCTCGAGCCCTTAACACCCAATCCATTGCTCTTCACCTGGAGGGCTGGTTTGAGCTCCCCCCCCCCTCACTGGCAGTGTTCAAGCAGCGGCTGGACAAACACTTGTCAGGGATGCTCTAGGCTGATCCTGCATTGAGCAGGGGGTTGGACTGGATGGCCTGTATGGCCCCTTCCAACTCTATGATTGTCAGAGGTCATTTCGGGGGGGATTGCGGGGGAACACAGTTCCCCCGGGTGAGGTGCAGGAGGCGGGGCACATGACGAAGCCCCGCCCCCAGCTTCCGGCCGCCCCGCTTCCGGCCCTCATTCAGCCAGGAGGAGGCAGGAGAAGAGGGAGGGTAAGTTGCTTCCTCCCCGCCTCTCCCCACCCCTGCCTGCCTGGGGCCAGGGAGGGCCTTGGCGGGGCTTCCTCGCACTCCCGCTGGCCTTGCAGGTCCACCGCCGGGCCCCTGATGTCAGGGGGTGTGTCATATGCTAATGAGTTATGCTAATGAGTTCCCCTAGCTCTTTTTTTACGAAATGACCATTGTATGTCCTTCAAATTGCAAAAGTCCAATATTGGGCTGGTAGGATGGGAAGGATGAGAAGTATCCACTGTATGTGGGCAAAGACTAATTCTGTTTGATTTCATACACAGTTTATTATCTTGAGTCCAATAGCTCCTTAGAGACCAATGAGATTTTCGGGGTATAAGCTTCTGAGAGTCAACGTTCCCTTTGTCTTCAAAGCTTATACCCCGAAAACCTTGTTGGTCTCTAAGTTGCTACTGGATTTGAATCTTGCTTTTTTACTGAAGACCCTCTGAAACCTCACCATCTCATAGAATCATAGAGTTGGAAGGGGCCATATAGACCATCTAGTCCAACCCCTATTATCACTCATACCACTGGCCACATCGAAAAACCAAAGCAGGAAACTTCCCACATCTTCTGCATGACTGCCAGGAGTCCAGTTCACATGTTACAGTGAACGCATGGACATCTTACATGTACATGTGAACATCTGTTTGTAAGAAACGGGCAAGAGGCACTCACTTTACAAACTGAACTTGAGACCGGTACCTGGATGCAAAACAATTATTAAGTGCTGTCAAGTCGCAACCAACTTATGGTGACCCCACGAATTCCAGCTCATGGAGTTTTCAAGGCTCAAGATATGAGCAGAAGTGGTTTGCCACTGCATAACAACCAAGGTCTTCTGCACAGCGACCTCTGCATAGAAACCCTGATCTTCCCTGGGGGTCTCCCATCCTACGGTAGCCAACCCTGCTTAGTTTCCAGACTCTAACAAGCTTGGGCTAGTATGGTCTATGCAGGCTGCTACCTGGATCAGTATGTAAAAATACTGGGTTTAAAAACCACACATCGAGCTGTACATGTGTTGAATGTAAAATGAAAATTACTCAACGCATGTATAAAGAAAAATCAAGCGTACACTGTACACAGATTGTACATCCATTCACTGTAACTTGTGGACAGGGCTGGTGCAGTAGATAAAGAGCTTGTCTCGGTGCCGTGTTGTTGTACCTTCAGAAGTTGGCTACTGTGTGAGACAGGATGCTGGCTTAGGTGAGCCACTGGTCTGATCCAGCCGGGCTCTTCTTAGGTTCTTATAACTTTAACCAGGAAGCACATATGAACTGATCCCTATCTAGTCCAGCATTCTATTTCCTACCGCAATTGAATGGATGATGCTGGAAGGCCCAAAGCAAGACAGGGAAGTACTAGCTGTCCTCCATCGTTTGTACCCTGGGGATTAGTATTCAGGGGTATGCAGCCCACGAACCTGGAGGTTCTAATTAGCTCCCACAGTTAATATCTATGGATACTTCTGGTCTCCGTGAATTTGACTAAGCAGTACTTTCTTTGATATGAATATCCTGGCAGTTTCATTCAGTGACACACACCCCCACAGACACACACATATTCAGGGAAGAGGGGGGGGGAAATCATAGAATCATAGAATTGGAAGGGGCCATACAGGCCATCTAGTCCAACTCCCTGCTCAGTGCAGGATCAGCCTGGAGCATGCCTGACAAGTGTTCATCCAGGCGCAGCTTGAAGACTGCCAGTGAGGGGGAGCTCACCACCTCCCTACGCAGCCGATTCCGCTGTTGAACTACTCGTACTGTAAATAATTTTTTCTCTCATATCCAGCCAGTACCTTTCTGCCCATAATTTAAACCCATTATTGCGAGTCCTATCCTCTGCTGCCAACAAGAACAGCTCCTTGCAGTCCTCTAAGTGAGTCTTTTGAATACTTAAAGAGAGCCATCATGTCCCCCCCCCTCCAGACTGAACATTCCCAAGTCCCTCATCCTCCAGGCCCCCAATCATTCTTGATCATCCTGGTTGCTCTCTTCTGCACCTGCTCCATTGTGTTCACATGCTTGAAGTGAGACCTCCAGAGCTGCACACAGTACTCCAGGTGCCGCCTGACCTATGCAGTGTACAGTGGGGCTATGTATGACGTCTTGTGATCTGGATGTTACGCCTCTGTTGATGCACCAAAAGGCCACTGCATCACACCAACTGCTCATATTTAGCTTACAGTCCACCCACACCCCAAGATCTTGCTCACTCTGTGGAGTTCTGACTGGTTGTGCATTTTTGCTATAGGGTTGCCAAGTGGCACTTACCCTTCTGGTGGGGGACTCCAGGTCGGCTCTTGGTGTGCGCCACATGCACGTCACAGGGAAGTGACGTCATGAAGCCGGGCACGCTGGGGGCGGGGCCACGACCATACAAGGGAAAACCATAGAGTTTTCCCTTGTATGGCCATGGCCCCACCCCCAGCATGCCCGGCATCATAACGTCACTTCCCTGTGACGTGCACGCTGGGGCGGGGTTCCCCCCGGGGCCCGATTCCCCGGCATCGGGGAACGGGCCTCTGGGGCGGGGGAAATTCCGCCCCCCGGGGGGATTTGCCAGTCCTATTTTGCTACCAAGATGCAGAACTCTGCACTTATCATTGTTGAACTGCATCTTATTCATATCTGCCCGTTTTTCCAGTGTGTTCAGATCTTGCTCAGTTCTACCTCTATCTTCCAGTGTGTTTGCTATTCTTCCCAATTTGGTGTCATCTGCAAATTTAATGAGTAGTCCCTCCACCCCCACATCTAGATCATTTATAAAAATACTGAAAAGTACCGGGCCCTGAATAACCCCCTCCAATCAGATGAAATGCCACTGACAACTACACTTTGGGTGTGGTTGTCCAGCCAGTTCCCTATCTGTCCTACAGTCCAGTCCACACTCCTCCAGTTTACCCATCAGGACATCGTGGGGAACTCTATGAAAAGCTTTACTGAAATCCAGGTAAGCAACATCAACGGCATTCCCACGATCCACCTTCTCAATGTTGACACTCAAATTTTGTAAACCTCTCAGAGGTCCACCCCTTAGTTACCTTAAAAGAAAAAT